TGTTCTCGCCGCCTAACCAGGCATATCGCGTGCGATCGCGTTTCCTTGCCGCCCGACACGCCCTACTGGGAAGAACTGAGTTCTGTTGAACCTCAAAGAGGTAGACAGCCCCTAAAAGCTTCGTGCTCCTGAACACGAAACGTGCCTTGCTCAGGGGACAACCAGTCCAAAGGTGACGGGTGTCTCCACAGACAAAACGCCGTTGGTTTTTAGACGCTGCTCGGTAGGTCGAAGCTCTCAACTCTCTTTTTCAACATAGCTGAGATTTATTGGCTCAGGCCCGCTCGACGAGCTCTATAGGTTAGCATTTGAATTAGTTCGCTCCGACTTGGAGCTGAATATGGCATTTAATGCCACATTCACCACCTCTTTAAACGAGACAAATGTATATGGAAGACTTTCATTCTGGCCACGTCAGTGAGGTGCCCTCTATAAAGTCAGTCACTGCGACCACCTTGGGGAGAGAGTCGGCCGCCATCCCGGCAATGAGATTTTTCAACTCTTGGACAAAGTCTACCAACTTCTTCTTGTCCTGTCGGGCGGCAAGGAAACGCGATCGTACGCGATATACCTGTTTAGGCGGCGTGATCACTCGCATAAGCTGGCGCTTCATCTCCTTACAAGAGAGAAATGTTGCTCCATCGAAGCACCACACATTATTGCCCATTCTGGCGCTCGGCCTACGAGCTAAGAGATAGCTAGCGCCACGCGCTGTTGTTCATTCTAGAGCGTGGCGTTGCAATAGCCATTTCAACCTCTCTTACCCAGAGCATGAGATCCTCTTCATCTTTACAATCAAAAGTCTTAATGCTAACAATGAGCGACCTGGGTCGGGAAGATTCGTCCGTCGTCAACAGGGCGTCATGGACACAGTCGACGCTGACAGCTTCTGCTGTAGGTGCTCTAACAGGCGTTTTATAATTTGATCGCGCCTCTAGGCGCGCGCTTATCGCCTCGGGACCTTGCGAAACACGGTGTTCCACACCCTCAGGGCCAAGCAGGGACATTTGCACATTAAATACTTTCTGCATGCCCTGGGACAAATAGGATTATTGCCAGTCGTAACGACTCAGGCGTAGGTTGACTATGAGTGCAGCGGGGCTGCTGTCAATTTTTGCTTAGAAGAAATTCAGCTGAAGTCACCGTCCTTACGTTCTATACAAGAACCAGTACAAATGCAGCGGATGCAATCCGCTGCCTCAAACAGTACTCAACATCCTTAACCAGGGTAAAACGCTCTTCCGTTCAAAATTGAAACTGCATATAATTGAATTAGCTGCGTCAAAGCTGCAAATATCTAAAACCCTTGGTTTTGATAATTAATATAATAATACATAATAAATAAAGTAAACCTAATTAAGATGCAATACTACTGGCGGTCCTGCCACGTGGTGCCTTCTTGTTACAGTGTAGCCACACCATCGTGTGATTACACCCACTTGTGCACCATCCGTCTTTTCATACAAGAGTACTTGTAACCCCCATTACAGAGTGTATTTTGCTTGAGCAATAAGCGGGCCTTCAAAAAGTAACTGTCAGAATAATTTGACCTGCTTGGCTAGTCTATCGCCGCTGTACACTGTAGTGTATCAACTTTGCGATCTGCTTCAGAGCATAGTGTTATACCACCCGCTTGTTGTCATTTTCACAGAAGTTTG